TCGCTTCTCTTTATACGTTTCCCCTTCTCTACTCCATACTTCACAGAATTATTTAGTTTAGAACTTAATTGGAGCAGGGATTTTGTCTTGATTTTTTTCTTTTTTAAGAATTTATTGAAAATTGAGGTATTTGTTTCATGCAGTTCAGCACTAAGCAATGTTGCAATTGATAAATTGGATCGCTCATGTCAGAGTAAACAATCTGGATGAGACACATTAGTCAACCATCCTAGAGCGATAATCATTATTGAAAAGAGTTCAATGTCTATTCCAAGAAGGATCTAATGTATAATTCATTCAGCGATCCCTGATTGATGCCCACCTGGGCCAATCAAGCCTCACATTCCTGCGGAGTCGATTATTTTGTACCAGACCTGCCAGGGTGACGTGATTCGTACATTGACACCCACCACAAGCCATATACACAGGCCATATATGCATTCAAAACACCATAACGACTCTGAGTGGAAGGGAAATGAGTTCCCATCCTAAAAACATGTGCAACTCAGGAGTCGCTTTTATCTTCTCATGCACGAGCGGTTTTTATTTGGGAAATACCGGTAGCGGTTTGATCATTCTGAATAGGATTCGACATTAACCGCTGCGCGACATCAACATCAATTCAATAAAATGATTCGCATTGTTCCCAAAATAGTTCTAAAATGTTCTATGTAGAAAGCAGTAAACTAATTTCTATCAACTTTCTCGGACTGAAGGTAAGGGCAGGTACAAACTCACAGGTAGCATCACCACAAGAAGTTCCTCTTGTCGTTCTGACGGTTGCGACAGAAGACAATTGAGAAGGTATTGGCGCCAGATGGAGGAAATAGATGATAAACTGGAAGTAAGGTGATACAGATGAAAATATTCCTTGGTTTGGAACTCGAGTAGAGGTGTAATGAGACGTGGAGCACTATTAAACGCACTGTTCGGGGATCGAATCCTTCATTGGTACCTCTCTAGTCCAATAAATCCTTGCACCTCTCCGGGACCGTCAATCGGTATC